ACATGCCTTCCCTATGTCACTTACTACAGTTTGTGATTGAAAAGATTCATAAAGCATTTACTTTGAGGTAATAACTCAAGTTTAGAAGTTAATTATGTCTGCGATTTCAAATTCAGATAGGCGGAGATTATACCATCAATAATAACTCACATTGATCGTATTTATATTGATGAAGATAACCAGTACTGTGAAACACCCCAAAAAATTTACTTCACCCCTCACTATTACATCAAGGCTTGATTGGTTTAATGGTGACTATCACACAAATGAGCGAGCTGACCCTGGAATGAATGTCAGGCTTTCATCATAATTGAGGAAGGTTGTTGAGGTGAATTAATGAAGAACAGAACCACAGTGACCATTAAGGTTAACAACACTGCTCTTGAAAATGGTAATGAGGTTCAACAAGCTGAAGACGTTGCTGCTGAGCCTCTAATAAGTCAATCGGCCCTTGGAAGTTGATTCCCTGCCTGGCAGTTTTAGCAGGAGTTCAAGGGAGGATGAAGTGTTTGACATTTTCTCTGACTCTTTATTTTTGATGACCGTAACAAACACAGAGATAAAACAGACTTAAGACTCATTTTAGAAACTTAATAAAGTAGGGTGCAATCTGCAGTTACTGCAGGTTAAATGTTTACATGCAATAGGATTCTATAATATGATGGCCTTAAACCACCCCTGTGTTTATAAGGCATTTCCATCTGGCTTCATCTTGAATATCTGCTGTACTACAACTGTGTGTACATTGAAGAATCCATAATGAAGCCTTTTTACTTTTATTGAGTTATATTACAAATACACACTTTGCATCTTCTTTTACTTGATGGATCAAAAGGACGATGAAATGAGAGAAAAGCAAGCGAGACTAACTGTTTATGATTCATACATTTCCAAGTTTCCAAGTTCCAAACCAGCTTTGCTAGCTAACGCAACCAGCCACCAACTCGTTAACAACTGTGTCCACAGCCCGAAAACACACACCGTCCCCATGAGGGGAAGGGATTGGGAACTGATGAACAGAGCAGTGGTAGATGGATTTATAAAAAAAGACTAATGTGAAGAAATGCTGAGGAGGTGAAGACCTCTGCCTCTGGAGTCTGATCCTATCAGGAAATTCTGTGTGATGCACAGTCTTTAATTAAGTTTTGCATATCTATGTTTTATTCTCACACAGACTGTATTTTCATGCAGAATCTTTTCCTGATAAAAGCTCTTATTCATGTCTCCAAGTTCAGCTTAGTCTGGTTATTTAATGTGTTTTGGCTTCATCACAACTGACATAGCCAAACCATGATCCCTGAGAAACTCCATATCAAATATGCAACTTAACACATATAACATCAACAGATCAAGAGATGCATATTTGATTTAGGAGAAGACAAGTCCGCATGGATCGGTCAATAGAATATACTGTATATAAAAATGGACGTAGACTCCGGATCCAGAACGCCTATATAAAAGTGCCTGAAACCTGTTCACTCCCAAATGACAAGCCCACTGCAAATTCACTGTTTGCAAATGGAAGTTTGTTTCTATTTAAGTGCAATGATCCTACTTCTAACTTGATTTATAATGTCAGTAAACATTTTCATAACAGTCTATCGGTTTCAGATTTCTAGTTTCGAGTCTTCTTTAACACAGTCTGATGTTCACTTTGTAAATTATGGTACCGTTTAGAATAAAATAGATGATGAGATTAAATAAATAAAACACAGTATGCATTGGGTAATAGATACCGTGTGATTGACAGCTACTACTGCCCAATGAGTGCAGGTTGCATATGTAGGTGGTCGTGCAGTGTCCTTGAGCTCTCAGACTACATGAACGCTACTATGTTTTCATTTGAAAATGGCGTTTTCAAACTAGAATGATCTCTGTCCACATGAGCTTATGGCTCTGTATCAGGTTCACTCCCCATCCATACCAACACGCGTTACATGCCTAAAAAAAAGCATATCACACAACAACTAAATGCAGCATTCCCATTCTCTGTTTGAATGCCTCTAAAACTCTGGAGTATTGTGGACGACAGGCATATCCGTAGCAGAGTTGATGCATTTTCAAGCAGAAACATATAGTATGGATGTAGCCTCACGCAATAATAATAAAATAATCAATAGAAACAGAAGTAGATGAAATAAACAAACATTATACTGCGAACATATTCAACAATTATTGCAGCCACAGAGTGGCTAAGGAAACAAATAATACCAGTTGTGCTCTTCTGTTTCATGATGAGCTGCATTATCACAGTAAGGCAGTTTCTGCTGCAAATGCAGAGGATTGCTGGTGAAAAACATTGGAAAAGCAAACTGGCTAAAGGAAAAGCACAATTGATGAAGGTCTATGTGATGCACAGAGAACATCCCTCCTTTTGCTCAGCTCTTCCACGGGATAACCCCATGGGTTTGACTCTCCCAGGATCTTTCAAATGTCATTCTCACCCCTCACAAGAAAAGTGAGTAAAAATAATTGTTTGGGATTATCCTCATCGGATCTCAAGAGGACAGCACAAGGTAAAACTGTGCTTGTTGCAATGTACTTTCTTAGTTTAGCTAGCAAATTTGTTTTTCAAAAAACAGGCCCAAGAAATGTACTGAACACTTTCCACTGGAAATAACCTTGTCAGTGATCTCTGATGGACAAACTATGCAACGGAATCAGTGAGACAAGCATATCCTTGGCATTGTTGTATTGCAGGTTCTTGATAATTATAGGCCAGCACACAGTACAGTGCTACCTATATCTGTATAAAGTAGAATCAGATGATGCCAATGGTTCAGTCTTAAGACAACAATAGGGTGTAGGTGTGGTTTTGGAAGAGGGGAGACACAGAACTATCATGGGTTCGTCAACAAGTGAAGACATCTCATTGTGATGTACAAGTGTTATTTTATGGGAACTGAAATCCAATAATAATTCCATTGATAAATGTATATTTTCCACAGTTTACCAAGAAATTCAGGGGAGAGGAGAAACCAAAAGTAAGCAGAATATATTATAATGTATTTTGGGGGCCTTACCACAGCTGTTCATGTCTGACAAGACATTGACTGATACATCCTTTTCAAATGAGTGGTGATGCAAACTTTGTCACTAGCTGCAAGCGAGGTACTGTAGCTAGTAGGCTAAACACTAAAATGCCAGCTGAACACATTAGAATTAGCAACCAATAATAACTGGATAATAATTTACAAAAAGTAGCAATTTATTTGAGCGACATGTTGTGACATTGACTCCTGTCCACTTCTCCATTTCTGTCTTCAAATATTTTTTGTGTTGAAATTCAACCTCTGGCAGGGCAAGGACAAATAGGATGGTGCATTGAGCCTTACATGATAGCCTCCACTATTGTGGTCTCTCTGGCTCTCTATTCCAGAAAAGGTCAACTCAGTCAAATCTGCATTCGGCTCACAAAGCAAATTTCATTAAAGCTCAACTTTATGCAAAAGCTTTCTATGGATTTTCTTTGTCTCTGGGAGAAAATCCAATGACAGCAGTGATCCCATTGCAATATAATGCATTCGACTGATATAGATAAATGCTGGTGGAACTGCAACCTGAGACCGACTTACACTAGTTACTCTGCATTCCTGAGATGTTGCAAAGGTATTTTTACACGAGGAATTATATCATTATATCTCAGTGAGTCTCAACTGTTTGTGGAAGTATAGTAAACTACAGTTTACTGTCACCATCTCATTAACGCCAGGAATATAATCCCCCAGAGACAAAGTTAGACTATTTAGACAGCTCTGTAATGATAATACCAAAATATACTTGTGCATCCACAGAAAAAAAAACAGCCAGTCAGAGAGAGACAGGGTTGTGAGAGGGAGGGGAGAGGAGGGTGAGAAAGAAATGGAAAGAGGGAGGCAGGGTGGGTCGGAGGATGAGTGTCTGGTCCCTAAGGCTGCGGGTGTGTGAGTGTGTGTGTTTCCATCAGTGCACTCTCACAGCTCAATAATGATAAATAAGTCAACCTCCTCTCCCCTCCCCTCAACCCCTCTCCCTGTCACATGCACCCCTGCTCTGTTCATCTACCCCCCACTACACTCCCAGTGGTAATGAAGCAACAGTAGGTACTAGCTGACAACTGTGCACACCAGTTTCATCTATATTCATTCTGCTATAGTGGGCCACCACAGTAAGACCCCTTCTACCCAAGAGAGACAAAACAACATCCATCCATCTCCTTCTCTCCCTCTACCTGTCCACTGCATCTGTCACTCCCACCAAAATATTCCCTATTCAGCAGCAATGGCCCACCATGTGAAGACACTAAAAACAATATGAGAAATATAAGATCTAACCTTCACTTATCATGTTTGCATATGAGCACAGTAAAGAAAAACTTAAACAAGTAGCGCTCATTACAACATTTCTACCAGGTACTTATTGCAAAAGATAAGAAGCACAAGCTCCAAACCAAAATAAGTCAATCAATTTTTAATTATCAGCAGCATGATGCCAACATTAACACATTTTTTTTCTTAACACATTTTAGGAGACAGTTTTACTTTCTGTGACAGTCTAATATAAGATTGGAAACATAATTAAATGGAAAAGAGATTAGTGACAGAAAAAAGGAGGGAGCCGGCAAACAGGAAAGAGCTACGTATATTTACGTATTTATTGTGCTTCTGCTACTGTATGTGTTTCTGGAGGGTCCTAATTGCTACTGAGGTCAGGCTGCTGAGCAGTAAAGGGTTGTGTTTGATGCAGGTAAGACTGCGTGTGAGTGCGTGTGTGTGTGTGTGTGTGTGTGTGTGTGTGTGTGTGTGTGTGTGTGTGACTGCTCTGCATGCCCTTGACTTGCAGCTGGCAAACAACGCTTTAGGCCCACACAGCTGCCTCATCATTACTGTTCACAGGGATCCCCTGCCACACACTTTCACATACACATACTCGCAGGCACACACAGCGAGAGAGACTTAGTCACAGCTACACAAGCACAGACACAAATACAGACACACGCAGACATACACAGAGACACTCACCCCTTCCCGCAGGCTCCTCATTAAGCCAGTGTAGGCGGCAGCGGGAACGAACCACAGTCCCTCTGGGGAGCCTCTCTTCTCTTCCTGATAGAGAGGCATAGGAGAGACAGGGTGAGAGGAGGGGGTATGTATGGGGGGGCAGGGGCAGTGGAGGAGTAGAGTAGGAGTGGGAGAGAGGCAGAGAGATATGATGTGGAGGAGAGGTAAGAAGAGAGGAGTGAGGAAAAGGGCAAGAAAGGGCCAAGTTAGGGAAGGGAGATGGGAGCCAGGGGAGACATGACATCTTGATTATTTGGTTAGTATGTCTGTGTATGAACAGGATTTCATGACCATTTAAATTCAGCACATTCTTTCTTCAAATTATTGATCTTACATGATGTATGTGAACACTTTGAATTATGTTTTTGTTTGTTTACTGAAACATCTCACTTTTATTGTTGTGTAAGTGTAAGAAAAAAAACTTTCACTGGAATTAAACTTTTCCATTGAAAATCAACATATTAGCAAATAAGTATTTTCAGTATCAATCAATCTCTCAGTTACTTTCACAAACAGTCTAATAATCTTTCTATTATTGATAATGGTGAAAAGATTCCTATGACTAAGGCAATGTCTTTAATGGGCTTGTTTTGTCAAACCAACAGTTTAAAACCAAAAGCTATTTGGGTTTCCAATTATACGAAACTAAGAAAACAAAAAGCTAATTCTCCAAAGTTTGGCATCTTTGCTTGATGAATGGTTTAAGTGATCAAAATTGACTCTTCCATTAGTCATCATGGTGAATGTGTGTTGTTTTTCCTAACGAAATACAAAGTTCTCTGTAAACCAGCAGTCATTACATTCCAAATAAACCTGATTATTTTAACCAATATTTTTGTCTTTTTATGAAACATTGCTCTGTTCCATCACTACTGCACACTGCTCTGGGCCACATCTAACCTTGAGGATAAAGACGGCACTGGAGGCTATAGCTAATCGTTGTCATTGACTGGTGCTGCAGAGCAAGAACATGTGATTTTACCAGGGGACACTTTAAGGGCCATTCCAAATGATTCCAATAAAACCTTTTCTTCTCCTGCCATTTAACAGCCGATGTGGCTCCACCCATCAGGAAGATTTCACAGTCTGCATTTAGGATTTAGAGCTGGTTGTATGAAGATATTAGCTACCACCAATACTGCAGACAGAACTTAAACTCCAGCAGAAATGTTTTGCACTCAGTAAATGCTTTCAACAACATGGTGTTAATAACGGCTCAGAGAATTTCATTTGTATGATCCTCAGTGGTGGGTACTGTGGTCAGATACTTATTTTCACCTTGCCTACTCTATGACTTCTCTATACCCTCACTATTTCAACCTCAAAGAAATCTGTCCAAAGTCCAGTAAAAATATATGTTTTTGTGTTTGGAAACAGTGTAAATGATATCTTACTCTTGAGAATAGAGGCAGAAGTTTACATTAGATGATCACTGGCACTGACCAATAACCCACACAACAGCTGACCTGCCAGTCCACCACGGGACTATAAACTAATAAAATGACTAGAGGGTTTTTTGAGCGATCCATTAGTTTGCTGTTTGAGGAACATTTTGAGCTTATTCTCAATACTCTTTTTTTTTTTTTTAATTGATACATTTGTGTATTCCAGCAATAGCATTATTAGCTGTTTTCCTTGAATCTAACCTTCTCAGCACATTAGTCAGTCATGAGTCAGACATTTATCAAATGTCACCTGAAAAAAAGTACAAGGAAATAACAAGGAAATACTGCAATCAGTCCCTTAGTGTGCTGGTAAGCACATGTACACTAATTTCTTAATTACATGTGTTTGGAGCCAGTTTTTCCTTTGCACTCCTTAAATCCAGGACACTAAAAACTTGCATCACCACAGTGTTCCCAGAAACAAAACTAAGCAAACTCAAGCAGCTTTTAGTAGCTATGCTCGTCACCAGTGGAAATATCTGTCATCTGGTTTTAAATCAAGGCTTAAAAAATTACATTTTACGTGCCATTGTGACATCACTGTAGACCTACGTCATCAACGTCAATAAAGGTGAAGGAAAACAACCTAAATGTTGCTTATTGTTTGTGGTTTATCAAGAAATGATGTATGTAACTTCTTTTTAATATTTAGGAATGCATTCTTATTTCATTGTTGTCTAATATTTCATGCTACAGCCCTTTGAATTGCCTTCTGTCTGATGGGGCTATATGAAAAAGACATCCCTTCCTTTAGATCAACTATCTGCAGTATCCCCGTCTCTTTCTGTCTTGTGCTAACGTCTTCTGACATGCAGAGCCTACCTGAGATGCGATGAGGTACAGAAACTCCCCAAGTGGTGGCAGCAGGACATGCTTTACTTTACTGTTCTTCAGATTATCCCTCAACAGGTCTGATAATGTGGACACAGCCTGGAGAGAGGAGATACAGTTTTATCAGCACTTTTTCTTTGTATATGAAAACAAATACAGGCTCTATAAAATTGAAATAAATGACTTCAAGCAGGTTAAAATTGTTTGAGATAATCAACAACAATTACAGATTTTAGGCCATCTTTCAGATTTCTTGTTCTATTTTTCCTGTGACTCTGCATATTTCAAAAACCCATAATTTGAGTATGCGTTTAGAATGAGCAAATATGGTCACTCTGCACTAGAAGAGCTATAGAGCGCTATATATCAGCAAAGACAATATCAACCAACATGGCACTCAGTATACCTCATACCTCTGTGACCCATGACATGTTGCTCAACCTAGTTTGGTGTAAATCATTCTGTTGTTGCATAATGATGACAAATAAACTGACATTGATGACAACAGGTTGAGGTTATGTTTTGGTTATGGTTTGTCCAGCAGAGCACTTACTAAATGTTCACTTGGTGTCTTGGTTAAATATTAAAACCACCAAAATGAATAAATTATTGAGACTATTGACCCAAAAAATCTTTTTCAAAATATCCAAATCTCAATATCACTTTTGGCATATAACACAACAAATTGGTTTGATTACAGCACAAAATTAATTTAATTAATTTATGTTTACTCATAAACCAGTTTTAATGGGAGGAAAGAGATGGGAAAAGTGCTGTTATTGTGGAAGTATTGTTATGACAGTATAGTGTGAAGCAAACATCTGTAGTGGTGCACAAAAATTAAAAATAATTAAGTCAGACAATAGAAACTGACCCAAAAATAATGAATAGTAGCTTCTAGGGGTCTGAAAAAGTAGGTTTCCACACCTTATCTGCTGGCTATTTATAAAATTCAGCCACAAAACACAGAATGTGTGGGAGAGCAGTAATGAGAAAAGTATGAGTCTGGACAGAAGACACAACAGCCTCGGTGAAAACCACTAAAATGCACAGAGCACATAACTAGATACACAAATTCATGCAATCATATGCAATTGTAATAAATGTGCACACACATACATACAGTTAAAGATATGCAGAGACTGCTCTACTGGCTGGCTGCTTCTTGGCATTAGCGTTACTGCCAGCTCCCCCCCCTGTGATCTGATGCAAGTTGTGCCTCAGTCCTCTATCTGTTCCTTCTCTTTTACTTTTTCCATCTTGCTGTTTTCTCTCTCCTCCCTCTGTTGTTTTTCTCTCTACCTCTTATCTTTTCTTCTGCTCTACTTTGAGTTGCCCTCGACGTATCGCATAATATCCCTCCCTCTCTTACCTATACATCTCTATCTCTCACTCGCTGTCATTGACGCTCACCTTCTGTCTCTCTTACTCATTGTAAGGTGAGAGGTGCTAACAGTCTGTTTGTCATCCTCTCTTGACAAATATCCCCCCTTTCCCCAGAGACTTACTCTTTCCTTTTATTTTCACCCCAACCACGCTGTATCCTCATGCTGAGCCATCTATGAGCATGGTTATCAGTTTCCCACTGGAATCCTGAGTGGGGTCTTGTTTATATACTTTGGAAATAAGGACAGAAAGATTTACCTTACCTCATTAAAACATATTTATAAACAGACTATAAACTCCCACCATTTTGTGCCAGCGTTAACCCAGTGCACATGTTCTGTGAAAAGCCTGCTCTGGGTCTCTGCTCTGTCCTCCTCTCTGTCCCTGCCTTCCTAATAATGTAAATGGCTGACTGGAGGGTTTAGATTCTGGGCTGTGTTTGAAACTGACCATGCAGCTGCTCTGATGCAAAGGCTGCTGAAAGGCAACGCTGTGGAACCAGCAAACATAAACTCTCACACACACACCTTAATTAACCCTAATGCCAACATCTTCAGGCCTAAGCCACAGCTATTTAAACTTGTGGGGTCCAGCATTTCGATCCCAATAAGCTGTCAGACTCCACAAGTATTGAGGGAGCCCAGGATTCAATCACCACAACTACAGTAAAACAAGGCCACGTAGACAAACCAAATTATTTCCCCCCTTAATACGTTATTTGAGCATCAACACTCCCTCAGATCAAATAATGCACATGAATGCACAAAGAGGAAACATAAACATTACAGAAACAAGTCCCAGGTAGTGGCGCAGATAAAAGGTTGTCCCAATATTACACACATACATTATCGCAGACAGCACATATGAGCAGAATCCATGTGTCTACAACTGGGACAGACACACATAGTAAAAAAGAAAGAATACAGAGAACAGGATGGTGGATTGTTGGTCCTTTAGAGAGGAAACTGTGCATGACTTTAATAACTTATAAGGTTTGTTTCTGCTGAGGTGACAGAGGAGACTGGTGTACGAAGCAGTGTTGCAGCACTGCAGTCAGAGGTAACCCTCTTATCTTCAAGCACACAGCTTTCCCCCTCATTTTACTCAAATCCATAAAGTTACATGTTTACTTTTTACAAAGATGATCTAAAATGGACTTTTTCAAAAAGGTATTTATATCTGATGTGTCAGTTAAACAAAACAACTTTATGTTTGCATTTGCTAATGA